ATGGACGAATGGTAGATTTATAGATATGTAAGATAGATTCTGGGGAGAAAAACTGTATGGCACCACAGAGTGAACCAAGTTTCTGACCTAGCAATGGATTCAATGTAGACTTTTCTATTCATGTCAGCCAAGAATGTCCAACCAAGAAGGTGCAATAAATTACTCGCCTGGAGTTTAGCATTCGCCATGCTGATGAAAGGCAGAAAGATGTCTCTCAGATGATTCATAGAAAACAGTTTTGTATTAGAGGCGTTAAAATTAACAAGCCATTCCTTGCCTCAGTAAACAACAGACAGTAGTTCGCTTTAGAGATCAGCCATTAATTTGACCTTATCGAACCGATTAGACTTAGTATCGAGAAAAGAGTAAATGGTTGTGTCATGAGTATAGATACCAAGTTGAGAGATGATGTCATCAGGAAGGTCATTAATGAAAATCAAAAACAAAGTAGGATCACTGGTAAAGCCATAGGGAACATGTGCATTAGTACAGAAGGATCTAGAAGAGTGGGCATTCAAGATAACTTTCATTTCACGATTTGATAAGAGAGACGACATCAGTGCAAAAATTCATCTTAAGGGGACCACATATACTGGCTTTGAATTCACAGTTGACCTTCTCTTAGACTGATAGCCAAGTTTGTACTTTTCCCTGCTATTTAACCCATATTCATTCCTTTTCTAAGGGCACGAATTGAATGAAATAGTCGACTAGAATTTGAACCTGGATCTAAAATTTCACTACTAGCGCCGTTAACAGTTAAACTACTTGCAGTTCAGTATTTCAGATTCAAATTACTTAAGTTTTAAGATGTTTTTTTAGCTTTTCACGCCAAACAAGACAATGATGCCACTGTGACGCAAGGGATTATTGCGTATTAGAGAATATGAGAAAAATATAATATAAAGAAAAAAGAGGACAATAAAAGAACAATAATTAAGAAGACAGAAAATAACGATAGACATATTTAAGTTCTTGAAGATCAAAGTTGACTGAGAGGCAAGAAGCTGTAGGAGATTTCCATAATCGAGAAGTACGATAGAAGAAAATGTTATCATAGAACTTGCGGTTATATCTCGCCATTTCAACTGTAAAATGATGAGACCTAGGATGTTCACGTATAGAGAACAATATGTGCATAGGTCTCAAAATAAGTGGTGCGTCAGAAATACTCCATATTGCTTTTTGTCCGCCAATAGTATGATGATACCAGGGGTGTGGGTTTGTGTGCACGCGTGATTGTACTGTGACGTGTGCTCCTGATCTACCTATTCGTAAACGATTCCAAACGGTTCGTGTTGATATTCTTGGTACTACAGTTGCTTGTAACTATGTTGTGGACACCGTGAGATTTGCCACTGCTGCCCTTGCAATGCATTGAGCTTGTTGAGTGTCTGCATTATGTGATAATCCAGAACCTGGTCTACGGATTTGATCAATTTTGCTAACATCGATCACTTCAGGCCCGACATGAACAGCGATTTCCCGATGTGGTTCTTCAGCCTCTAGAACGATCCCGATTACAGCAATTTTTTATATGTTGGGAGATTCATTGTTGAAATTAAAGAAGCAAGAGTTTGATATTGTAGCTTTTTTTAAGGAGGTGTTGAAATGTGTGCAATTATACTATTGCGTCCATACAAAATATTACGCATTTACTTAAATTGAGCGTCTAGATTTCTACCGTGAATTCAATAAGAAAAATCAACATCAATAAATATATTTTCAATTTAATACAAATTCAAGAAGCAATAATATTAAACAGAATGTACATCCCTGGCGATTTGATATAAAAATGGCATTTGAATCCGTGATTTTACGTAAACTCTGCAAAGTAATCATCTGTTATGTCATAAATTACTTGTTTTCTCTGTGCAAATAATTTTTCGTTGAGTTCCATTATGTATCCAGGCACACCTAGTCATTCAAGGTGATTATAGAACTACGCAAATGGCGAAAAAACATTTCGTATCAAGGTGTAAAATTTCACGAGTTTTGTTTTGGATTTGCTTTTGTGTGTGTGTTAAGCAAAGTTTGTAAATTCTAGTTTTTTTAATTTCTAACAAAATTAATGAGTCAGTGCTTAACATTTGAATTTTAAATCTAGATCTTGTTTTGTCCATTACCTATCCAGGGCCACCTAGTCACTCAAGGTGATTATAGAACTACGCAAATGTTGGGTGCAAAGTTATACTTATGTTGTGGCTATAAAATAGATTAAACATCGATGAAGGGAATTCTGTTGTTTATGTAAGTAAAATAGATGAAGGAATTAACAAAGTTTCTTTCAGATTTTTATTTTATTTCGTCTAGATTTTTCGCTAATAAATAAAATAACATCTACGTATAAAGTAGGTCTGGATGGATTATAAAAAACTAAAATTTAGAGGTGATGCAGAAAATAATTGCTTAGCATTGACCCAATTCTTCTGAAAGGCTCTAAGTGAACAAAGGAACAAAGGAGACACGTGTTCATTTTGGTGATATGCAATAATCCATTTCGGACACTGAGACTAACGCAGCTACGTCACCATGTCAAACTTAGTTACAGAATCATTTGGATGAGTGTTATTAGGTCAAAAGTTGGTTGAATATAATAATAATACATTATGAAATGGACAAAGACCGACAATTATTTTAAGACATTTTTATGTTTATACATTCTTCTTATAGATACAAATATTTAAGTAAATTCTCTGTTTATATTAAACAGTATTAATAACATTTACCGGCCTGAATGTCCGAGGAATTGACATAGAAAATATGCGTCCTACGACAGGAATCGAACCTGTATCCTATACGGAACCGCCAAATAGCCTAACGTGCTTTTACCGATTTCGCCACAGAGGAGCATTTCTTTTAGCAAGGTCGATTTTGCTGTTTTTAAACTACAATCTATCGTGATGCTCTCACGTATATTCATATCTGCTCGATGCGTATCCAAATGTAAACAAATAACATTATGAAATGGACAAAGTGCGACAATTATTTGAAGACATTTTTATGTTTATACGTTCTTTTTTTTATAGACATATGTAAGAGAATCATGGAAAATTGTAGTTTAAAAACAGTAAAATAGACTTTGCTAACCGAAACGCTCTTCTGTGGCGAAATCGGCAAAAGCACGTCAGGCTATATGATGGTTCGATTCATGTCAGAGGACGCATATTTTCTATGATAATTTCTTGGACATTCAGGCCGGTAAATGTTGTTAATAATTTTTATTACAAACAGAGCATTTACTTAAATATTTGTATCTATAAAAAAGAATGTATAAACATAAAAATGTCTTAAAATAATATATTTTCTACTCCCTATCATGGACATATTGTCAGAGTCAGAAATATGAATTACAATTTAAATTCAGTCAGTTCAAATGGTTACGGTGTAATTATGTAGCCTTTAGGTTAATTTGTGATATCGCTTGTCAGTGATTTCGCATTTGTGAATTCTGTGATATCTGAAGTTAAACTTCATTAAATTAAAATTTGTCTTCTTTATTGCGTCCATTTCTCTCTTTGTTTTATACATTTCTTCTTTCTTTCGTTTTTTTTTGTTCTCTAACGTTGTTTCTTCTTCTCTAAGTTTCCATTTCATATTCCGAAAATCATTAGCGTTTTTTTCTAATATTTTCTATTTTTGTTGTCATTTGAAAACGATATTGTTATTTATGACCTCACTTCCGGTTTCATTCAATCATTTATTTTACTTTTAGATTCTTTCTCTCTTTTGTTATCACTTTCTTCTTTTCTTAAACGTTCTTTCTTTTTTTAATTTTTTTTCTGAACATTTCTTTTCTTACTTCCTTTCAGCATTTAGATTTTTCTAGATTTTTCTTTGCAAGGCTTCTTTTATTCTTTCCTTTTAGTAAATCTTTTGGGTGGGATTTTTCTTTTATCCTTTTTTAGAAAATGTTTTAAGTATTTTCTTCTTTCTTTTTCTTAGTTATAGAGCGATTTTTCCTTTCTTTTTCTTTTCCTTAAGCCTTTTCTTTTATTTTGATCTTATGTATATATATTTTTGATCTTTCTTTCTTTTCGTCTTTCTTTTTTTTTAGCATCTTCTTTCCTTATAGATCTATTTTTCCTTTTTTCTTTCCTTAAGTACTTTCTTTTTTTGATTTTTTACATAGATTTCTTAATCTTTTTTCTTTCTTTCTTTTCATCTTTTTTTTAGCATTTTCTTTTATATATATTTCTTGATCTTTCTTTCTTTCTTTCTTTCTTTCTTTCTTTCTTTCTTTCTTTCTTTCTTGATCTTTCTTTCTTTCTTTTCATCTTTCTTTTTTTAGCATTTTCTTTTATATATATTTCTTGATCTTTCTTTCTATACATATCTGAAGTTCTTTTTATTATTTATCAGTCATTTTCATTTTTAGTTTGATGATTCGGTCCATTTTTGCTCCCCCACCACCACTACTTCACCTCACAACCGTTCATGTAACCCGCTCATTATGTATACGTTTGCCTGTTTATATTAGCGACCATCTGATGTGAACGCAAAAATGATGAATCAGCAATGAACGGTTTGTAGACAAACATTGTAGCGACGTTTAACACATCGGACCGCAAAAAAGAAAAAGAAGAAAAAAAAAGAAGTTATGTGGCCGATTTTTTGTATGTCGTATACAGAGAAACAAAGTTACGTACCGTATGTCATGTCCAGAACACACGCCAATGAACCGGGAAAATGCAATCAATGTCGTCTTGTGCGGTGGCGCGAAAACACGCACACTCGCAGGCACACACACAGGCACACACACGAACAACAGATACATTGATGCAAACGTGGTGTATACACATATGTATACATATCTATCTACATTTATATATATCAATATATATCAATATATATATATATATATATATATATATATATATATATATATATATATATATATATATGACTGTATGCGTATTTTTATACATACATACATATATGGAGACAGAGACAGAACGTGACATACACGTATTTATATAGATGTGTGTGTGGGGTGATACATGCAGACAAACAGGGAGGCTAATAGATAGATAGATAGATAGATAGATAGATAGATAGATAGATAGATGAATAATACGAGCAGACTTCAATAATAGATAGGAACAGACTGAATAGATAGATGAATAGATAGATAGATAGATAGATAGATAGATAGATAGATGATAGATAGACTGGGATAGATGAATAGATAGATAGATAGATAGATAGATAATGATGATAGGATAGATAGATAGATAGATAGATAGATAGATAGGATAGATAGATAGATAGATAGATAGATGAATAAAATGCTGTAAAGAGGATAGTATGTTTAACAT